CAAAGGGGGCCAAGCTGGTGCAGGCATTGTGGATCAGCAACCACTGCTAGGGTGAAGAAACCCCTTTTCACATAGTCACCACGGTACTGATTTGTTCCTTGCCGCTGTTGGTACAGCCTCTACACTATGGGGTCTATCCACGAAGCTGCCGAAGGATCTAGCCGTTGCTTCGGTCGTTCCTTCGGCTAGCTTCGGCCCCAGCACCCCTTCGGTTCAGTAGAACCGAAGGGGTGCTGTATAGCCCATACATAGCCTCTGGCTACCTGCTAACCAGGGACACTGATCTCCAAACAGCAAACTCTTCCTGGCGCTCCGGGAGTCTCCCACTCCCGGCAGCCAAGGAGATAAACACTGCTGTCTGCTGTCGATTGTGCGGAGCTAGCAATGACAGCTAGCTCCGCCCAATAGTTTTCTATTGTTCGGCGGCTCTGCTGCCGTAAGAAAAAAAACCTCTCCCGGGCGCTCTGGGAGCCTCCCGCTCCCGGCCGCCCAGGAGAGAAGCAAGCCGATTTACAGCTGATTTCAGCCGATGTATGTACCAGCCTGAAGTGAATAGCAGAACAGTGTTCGGCTCACTTCACTTCAGGTCGGCCATTCACTCAGCTTAGTGAATAGACCTGCATGTGTAAGGTGATATTCTAGCTTGGGGGGGGGGGGTGTATATGAATCTGATGCCAGGCAGCTGGTTTTGGCACTGCGTGTCTGGTAGGTGAGTCATGGTAGGAACAGTAAAAATGTGCAAAACTCACCTGGCCAGGAGCAGCAGGTCTTGGAATCCTGAGTGCTTGATTTGGAAGTGCTGCACTTCCATAACATAAACCTGCATGAGGTTTAGGACATGAGCCAGGCAAGTCATATGCCTGTGTTCTCCTGCTGATAGGAATTATAACACATTATTATTACACATGCTATACATGCTCACTACACAAGCTATAGCATGGGGTAAGCCACCTCTTGGCCTGGGACTGGAGAGCTGCCAACAGCTCTGATCTAGTGTGGGTCCAGTGTGGCTCCTCTTACCCAGGCACCCAAGCCGTAGCACTGCATTTTAGCTTTTTGCTTGAGACGTGGCATAGGTTTAGGTGCTGCAGAGGCTTCACAGTCCTCTGTTTGGCACCATGACCCTCTTAACTAAGAGAAAGCTTCTGAGCCCCCTGGTAAGCTTCTCCTACCTCTCTTGGAATACAAAAGAGTTAGTTGTCTAATTATCACAGACATGGGGGGTCGGGATGGGAAAAGAAGTGGAAAATTAAGTGGAGCTCCAAGGCTTCCTATAAAAAAAGGCTTTTGTTTTAGTATTCTGGTGTTTTCACTTATTTTGATGATATATTGTTTTTAATTTTACGTTGATAGGACCTTTAGTTTGGTTTAAACTGCTTCTGCTTCTACTTTTTTTTGCAAGGCTTTCCTTTAAAAAAAAGTGGGGTTTGGTTTCGGGTGTGGTATTTTGAGTCTTTATTTCTTTTGTGGGTTTTCAAAAACATTTTTACACTGCTGTTTCATCTTCAGTATTTGATTCATGTAGTAAAACCCCAGTCTGTGCTGTTTGTCTCTACTAAGTTTGGTCCAAGCCTTGCTATTTAAAATTCCCCTGCTGCTGGCCAATTGTACACTGCTGTATCTGTAACTAAACTCTCTTAATTCTTAATGAGAGCTTCAAAGAAGTTGGTCAATGGCAGGGCAATTTTGCATCAGTGAGAACAGGGATAGCCACATCAAAATACTGGCCAATTTCTATAAGCCGGCCAAAGCACGTCTATTATCATTTGATGGAAAGCATGTGTAACTGCTAAAGTTACCTGAAAAAAGGAGTTTTTCCAAATGCAATAAGTCATATTATGCTGCTGCTGTATTTAAGCCAAGCTAATTGTACTGTTGAAGAGCATGTGTCCTAGTATGGTACAGGAAGGGGGATGGGGGCGGGGGGAGACAGCACACGCTCTCCTTGCTTGCCTGGCCACTCAGGCTGCATGCCTCAATAAGTGTCTGGTTAGAAATTTAGGGGAATTCCAAAATGTTTTGCTCATTTTTTAAAATGTCCCTTTAAAAGGACTGCATCATGTTTTTCTGTAACACCATGTGCAGCTTTAAGGCATTCCCAAACATGTTATTTAAAGGATTCATACATTTTTATTGTTGCCCTTTAAGCTGCATGAAAAGACCCTTTCCCCACTGTACAGTAATTTTTTTTTTTCATTCACATTAGTACATGTCCCCTATGGCAATCCCCCCAAGCTCCCCAGGCGCTTTGTTCAACAACTTTTTTCTCACATGCAGCTCCCTTTTACCACTCTCTCTGACTTCTCAAAAATGGTTGTATAGTTGAGAAGATCACATAAGAAGGCATAGATGGGAGCTTGACCTCTTCAGTATGTAAAGCAGTCATAGTATAATTTACTATTAACAGTCTTTGTAGACTGCTGTTTGCATGTGCAAAATGGTAAATATGAAATAGTTCTATTTCATATTTACCAGATAACAAAGACACCATTTTTTTTTAAACTACAACTGAACTATAATGTCTGATTTTCAGCAAAAATGCAAAACTGCAGGACCTCTGACCTCCAAATTTTAGAGCCATTGTATATCAGGCCACAACAAATACTGCGATAGAATCACATAACAACTAGAGATAGTAGCCTATATCAAACAAGTAATTAATCAAATGGCAATGCTCACTACATCCAATATAAAAGAAATAAGCAATGGCAAATAATGTATTTTCTTTTCCAACTTAGTAAGAACATACTAAGAAATCAGCACTGCCACTTTGGAGCTGCACAACTGGCCACAGTAAATTGGGGCTGCAGCTTTCTTCTACATTATAGAATACAATAAATTAGCATGTTGATCTGGCAAATTTTATTTTCAAATGTGTTCAGTAATTGTTAAGTGAATGACCATGGAAGGTAACATTCATACATTTTAACCTGACAAATGTTGGGCAAATGTACATGGAAATTAACTTTATAAATAGGATGAAGGTTGCCTAGAGCATTTTGGTTGAATGTTGGGTGAATGTCTCAACAAATCCTTTATATACAGTATATCCTTAAATGTTAAGTAAATGTGTTGATTTTGTGAATTATTTTTATGTATGTATTTTTTCTGTATCTTTGAAATCAATGTTTGTGTCCCATTGGGGAGATTACCCTGTACCTTCTCTTGCAGACACAACCGGAAGTGAATGATTATCTCTCTATGGAGACCAAAAGAGTCACTCTTTGTTTCTGTTGGCAGAATTCCGCTTGCCTCCTTTTTTTGTGACAACTGTAAAATTTTGGATTTCATACATTTTGAATGGTTGTCTCAGTCACAAGGGTCATAATAAATTAAGGGGTAAATATCCCCAGTGGGAGGAACTAAAAAGCTAACTCAAAAAAAAAAACTTAGGGAGCCGAAACTCGTTAGGCTATTCACTTCAGCTGAGTACGGTTGATTTCAGCCATACATCGGCTGACTTTGGCTCCCTTCGGTCCAGCCCAACATGCTCAGCATGTTCGGCTGAGCCAAAGTGAAGAGCCCAGTTCACTCACTGCTGTTCGCCCCTATTCTCATAGACCCCCTGCTGATCCATACCAGACCTAAAGGGTCTGGTATGGATCAGCAGGGGGACCCCACACAGTTTGTTTGTTTTATTTGTTTACATTTGTTGGGAAAACGGTCTGCTTCGGCAGACCATTCTTCCCTCTTCAGCTGTGTGTTCGACTCAGCCGAGCAGAACCCATATGCTTCAGCTCAGCCGAGCTGTTCAGCTGCCTTTGGCTACTGTACGTGCTATTGTGAATAGCCCATACAGAAGCCCTTCAGTGTGGCAGAACCGAAGGGCTCTGGCGACCAAAGTGGGCTGAAAGATTAGCCGAAGCTACAGCTATGTCCTTCAGCTCTTTATTTAATAACCGCCTTAGTATAAAGATACACTTAAACATTTCTTGGGATAAGGCACAAGGTCAGTGCACATTTTTATCTTGTATAGCATTGTTCTGGAGGTTTTTCCCTGCTCATGTAAAGAGTAGGGATGACCTTCGGCTTCAGGTCAACCATGAGTTTCACACAAACCCAAGCTGTTTGCAGTTCAATGAACAGGCAAATGATTTGGACAGTTCACCCGCCCAAACTTCCTCCATGTCCTAGCAACTGGTGACCAATGACCAAGTGAACCGATCCCGGGCATATTCAGCTCATTACTAGTAAAGAGGTTGCAAGATCTATTGTAAAAGAATAATTTCAAATATATACACAGATTGGATTATTATCTATACAACTCTGAATTATCTAAAAAGACTGTCAGTTTTTCATGATTTGCCTGGTTTGTGATCTTAATTTTTTCTTCTGCAGCCATTTAAGCCACACATTTCATTCACAAACTAGCCCCCAGCCTATGACAGGACAATGAAAGAGAGAATGAACACTACTGATTCACTCATCATTTTTCCTGTAAGCATGTTCAAATTGTTATCTGGCAACATGCTACAAAAGAATAAAGCTCAGATTGTCTGAAAGTGTTGATCTTCCCTCACCCAGTTTGATTAATAATGTGTGTGGGATAATAGGAAGTTGATAGCAGGACAGATTCAGGTATTTATATAAGTTCCATGTACAGCATATTTAAGTGTAATGGAGTATAGGCTGTTCATCTAGCAATTTTAAATGTTTACCTTGCAAAGTAATATGTTCTTTTTACAAAGTCAATGTTAGTAAATGAGGTGAAGCTGTGTTCAATTTGAATACCCGTTCATGACGCAGCAAAGATCCAGTTGTTCTTAATTTCTGTAACACATGATTGGGTACTCGAAGTGCACACACCTTATTTACCAACATTCACTTTGCAAAGTTAACAGCTTCTACTCCTTTAGTAAATCAACCATATTGTGTTCTTTACGTGTCTAAAGTTCAGTTTTAAGATTGACATGCCTTTACTTTATATTTGGTTCAGTAAGATATAGGTTTAAGACACAATAACTGTGGATCATCTTAACTCAAATTATCTGTATAAAACATTTATTTTCATGGTCTGCAATGATGTGTAGATACATAGAATATTGTTAATTAAGTATTTACCGTGAAAAATACACATTTTTTTCAGACAGAAATCTAGATCTTATTTTTGTCAAAATTATTATATATTACATTTTATGAAAAAGAAATACAGTAGGAGGAACAGTTTCTTCCATGTAAATTTCCCACGTGTTCCTTTCAGATTGTCCGTTGCTATAAGTCCATTGATGCCTCTGAGTTATTCTTTTCTTTTAAAGTTTATTATATCTGTTTGCATTCATGTCTAGTGCACAATGCTTGTCGTTCAATTCTCCAGGTGCCTTCTTCATAGGTACAGTGGCATATAGTGCAATCATCTGTCTTTATTTCTCTTCCTGCTGGGATTACAGAAGTCTCTGCAAAGCAGTTTGGTCCTATAGTAAAGACACAAAAGTATATCATTTAAATTTAAAAACATTTGCTGTTTATCAAACACTCTTCCTACATACAATGTATACAGTATTGCTGATTACTGATTATGTGGAGTTTGCTTATGATCAGTTTAATTAAACTGTAAATACTGGCACAATATAAAACATTCTCTATTGTCATTGCATGGGCATGCACATAGAATCTATAACTGTCATAATTTTTCTTCATGCAACTAGGTATTACATAAAATAAAATACATAATAAAACAACCAGAGAAGAATTATATGGAAGTAAATCAACTACAAATAAAGCATAAGTACAATAGGTGGCGAGATTGCTAAGCAATTAAACGACCATACACCAAGCAAAAATTGTGGTGCATTGGCCTAATGAGCTGGTCCAAGCCCACATATACGATGAACATATTTGGTCAATGTTGTTACCCAGGATCTTCAGTTTGTTTATAAATAGAAGCTGGCTGAGTTCTGTTATTCAGCGGCTACCCCTGATAAATGGCATGTCCCCTGGTTTGTTGATAAGTACTTATAACCCTACCCATTCACTAAAGTGTTCAAATAAATTTAAATAAAAATCCAGACTTTCATCAAAAATCCTTTATTTAGAAAAAAAACATCAAAGGATTTTTGACAAGTCCTTTATTAAAAAAAAAAAAAGCCCAAACAATTGATCCATCAACCTAATCCAGTGCCAATCACGACGTCCAGCGTTGTCCACGATGATGATGACTGCAACGAACACCCGCCGCAGAATGGCATTTTGACAGATGCCAGCTAGCTCCGCCCTACTGTTCTCTGTTGTAACCGGTGAGCAATGATTGGGCAGAGTCATCATGACTTTGCCCAATCATGGCTCTCACAGTTCTCTGTGCCCTGATTGGGCAAAGTCTTGCACCTGACCATAGCCAATTAGGGCTTTAGAAAGCGTATTGCCGTATGGGGCGCTTGGCGGTTAAATAGGCCGCCGAACGCCCTGATAGTTTGTGTGTTCGGCGAACACACAAACTAGTGATGTTCAAGTCAAACCCACATTCGGCTTGAACATCGAGCCTATCCCTACTCTCTACTATGTCCTCCACTGCCACCACCCACTAACTCACTCACTGCCCAGGACATTGCCATTCATTTAAAAAACAAAATAGATACAATTCAGGATCAAATCGCCACTGTCCAGTCATCTTCCCCTATTAATGTTCCAGACCCACCATCACACTTGTTACTTTCCTCTTTTCACCCTGTCACCACAGAGGAGGTTACAAATATTCTCTCTGACACCCACCTCACCACTTGCCCCCTTGACCCTGTTCCCTCACCACTACTTTGGTCACCCTATTACTCTATCCTATACTCTCTTACTCACATTTTCAACTGAGGAGAAATATACAATGTATCTTTTTTTCCTTATAGGGGAGAAAGAGATATGTGGGAGTTTATTTGAATAGACTCACTATAGACAGACTTGTATATGTATGGTTGTTGTTTTTTTTAAGGTGCCCACACATCTTGTGTTTATCGTACCATAATCGCAAGGTGTGTGGAAGACGTGCGACCGTTTCTACTGTGCGGTCGCACGACTTTTGTCTTACGAACATGTTCGAAAACCAGCCGAGAATCGTACGATTTTCGGCTGGTTTGGGGCATGCTCGTAAGATAAGTGCTGCACAGGCCGGTGTGCGCGAGTGCACCGTTTCTAGGGTAAATGTTGTTTTATGTGGGTAATGTACCTGAGTAACCTGGGTAATGTACCCAGGTACATTTTTTCTAAGTAAAGTTGGAAAAAATTGACTTTGTGAGGGAATGGAGGGATTTTAGCTTTCATGTTATTTTTCAATTAGATCAGTCAATATATATTTTTCTAGTCTGTTTATAGTCTTTTGTAGTCCCTAAACAGTGTTTTTTAAAATTTATTTAACAATTTTGTGGTCACTGTGGACTCCAGAATATTAGAAGGATTTGTAGGACATACATATTTTCATATTTGTTGACAGCTTTTGCTAATATTAAGTACTAAATAAATACTTACTAGTACTTAGTTATTTTCTTCTTTAAATAATTGCAAAGCTGTTTAGTTCTCCAACCTCCACCTTGAATGCAATCCTTTAATTTGGAATCAATAACTCTGTAGTGTGCCAATTGCTTTCATAGCGATCTGACAGAGGTATCTAAAATGTGCATAGTACATTCTGTGCTAACTTATTGTCAAAATACTATTGCTGGATCAATAAATATACAACTAGGCAGTACTCCCCCCACTCTCTATGTTTCTATACATCGTATAACTTGCAATGGTTATTCTTATGCTCCTTGTCCACAGGTATGCCTATGGATCTCCTATTTTACCTAAACATCGTCAGACTAGAATATTATTTTAGTACTGTTTTCTTTACTCTTCTTTCACCTGCAGAAATCTGCAAGCCTAGAGAACAGAGTAAAGGCAGAGCTTAGTGCAGCATCAGAGCTTGCATTATTACATACACTGGACAAGACAGGGTCCATAGGCACCAGAGGAAAAAATAGGTAAGTAAATACATCTGAAGTAAGTCTTTTAATTATGAAGTAAGATCACATAGTGGTGTAGACTGTGGGCGAGTAGACTGAAACAATATAGAAATCACGTTTAATTTTTTAATTCATGCTCCTTTTGTTGAATAATCAGCCACACAATTTCCATGTATTTGTTGCCTTCTGTTTAAATCTTTTGCTAAGAATCAATGAGCTATTGATTTCTTTTTGACAGATTACCTTGAAATAGATAAAAGCATAATCATGTTTTTAAAATTAATTTTGACTTAATTGAACTACAGCAGCCAGGGATGGTTATGAGTTTCAAATAATTTATTAATCTCAGTTAACTGATTTTCATTTTACTTTTTATGTCTTCCCTTGTTTCTTTCTAAAGAAGCTCCAGGCTCATAGAAGAGAAAGCTTCTGAAGTTTCTGTTCATGCACCGTTCCTGATTTACTAAAGTCAGAGGTTCACTTGGTGGGCCTCAATTCCCTAGAGGTGCTTAAATGTTCCTTCTACTAGACCAAATGTACATGACACAAAACACTGTCATTTGTGATTTAATTGTTATCGGTCTTGACAACCATTGTTATAAAAGAATAATGTTTTTTATATATAACAAGAGATGAGCAAGGAATGTCTTTGAACATCGGCATTAAATTAGCAGCATCATCCTGTAATTTTGTCTTGTGCAACTAAAAAAAACCCAAAATTAATCACATTATGTGTGACCATAATTAGTGATTATGCATACTGTGATGACAATAAAACCCTACTTTTTTAAATGGCCTTTTCCTTGTTTTTTGGCTCTTTTTAAAATGTATTTTGTTGTTTCCTATATTGCAGCTTGAACCATTTAAAGAGACAGTACACTTTTTTGGCTTTTAGTGTTTTTCTAATGTTATTTGTTTAGAAACATCAAACAACTATGACTGCAACCCCCCTTTTTTTCCAAAAAAAAACTATAGTATACTGTTACAATTTTTCAAGATGCTATTTTCATACATTTTCACACCTATATTCTAAAAGGCCTCAACAAACAATAAACTGCACCCAAAAACAAACAAAAGAAGATTTAGAACATAAATGTAAAACACTCAGGAGGAAAGCAGGAAGTCACACCAATTATATCATATCGCATCCATCTTTCTTGAACCCAGATATAGCACACTGCAGCCCCACCTAGGATCGCCCCTCTGTAACGTTTCATCCAATTTAAGCTTAGCCACAGAGATCTCTGTGAATAAAGTCCTATTGGGTGATATGGTAGAGAAGAGCGGTCCTAGGCTGGGCTGCTGTGTCTAATAAAGTTGGATGAGATCTGACATCATCAGTGCGTGACTACCTACTTTCTTACTAAGTTCATACAGCATGGTTGGGCTCTTTTTGGTCGGAAGTCAAATTTCCAGAGGTGGGGGATTTTCACTCAGACTTTCTGTGTTTTTTTTTTTTAAACAAACAGGAGCTATTCGGAGTCCTTAAAAACCTTAAAAATAATCTTAACCACCTCAAACCCCCCTAATTTCTGTATGTGCGAGCTCATGTAAAACTGGTCCACAAACAGTATAGCCTTCTTGGATAATTAGATTTTATTTGGTTAATTTGCATGGAAGACAGATACCAGTCTACTATATTGTGTAAAACAGTGATTATCCACCCATTTCTATATGTAAACATACAGAGTTGGGCATATATTACTTGGAGGTAATCACACACCAACGCAACTGCTCACTCGTCAAATAAACTTGCAAGTAAACATCATATTGCTGCAGAAGCTAAGACAGTTCTTAGTAACATTCCCTCCCAGCAAGTCTCTCATCTTAGATTCTCATCTCTCCTCCTTCAAGGGAAAGGTATATTTTTCCTTCACTACAATTTCTGTCAGGGGCAATTTGATGTTTGATCTTGATGAGACACTTTAACAGTTTTCTCTACCCACTGATGGTATGTTTGATATATATATCCATATATGTATGTTATATATATATATATCCATATATGTATGTTAGTATGAAGCTGACAGCTTTTTCTCCATTCAGAGCAGCTTGTTACAGGTTACACAGCATCCGGCTTTTGACAGCTAGTTAGCCTACACAGCAGCGGGCTTCCCCACTGTTTGTGTAACCTAACTTGTGAGGCAAGAGCTGTCACAGCCTCTACTCTGTGTTAGAGGCTTGAGCTCTGTGGATGGCTTGGACCAATGGCAAAGCACCATTGGTCCAAGCTGTCCAATAAAAAACAAAACAAAACAGTGAGGACATCAATCTCGATGCCTCACCAATGACAAGCAAGTGAGGGACGGGGAGGCTCCTCCCTGCCTCCTCTCTTCCTCCTTCCCACACAGCTTGGGGCGGAGCTTCGGTGGGACGGGGTGGAGCTTCGGCTGGCTGGGGGATGCCTCACTCAGCACAGAAGGCATGGCACATCACGTGTCGATACTTTTTTCATTTTCACGAGAACTACCAGGGTTGCAGCGTTTGCAGCTGCGACTGGGCCCTGGAGCTCTACCACTGAACTGAAAATCATTAGTCCGTATTGTTTAAGAAAAACTGTCAAAAGGCACTAAACAAAAATGTATCAGAATTGGTATCTGTGAATACTTGGACAAGTACTGGTACTTGCACTTGGTCTGGAAAAATGGTATCAGGTATGGGAGGACGCTAATTTGTGTCCTGCCGTTACCCTAAAGAGAACTATGGGGAAAATCCCTAACCCCATGATTTGATCCCTGGCTTTCCCACTTACAAAGAAATGAAAGGTCCATCATTTTTATCATATGTGTATTTTAAATGATAGAGACAGAATATCAACCAAAAATCCAGAAAAAAACCCCGATACAAATGTAAAAAATTGGGTTGCAGTTCAGTGAGTAAAATAAGTATTTGATCCCCAAGCAAAACATGACTTAGTACTTGGTGGAGAAACCCTTGTTGGCAAGCACATAGGTAAGACGCTTCTTGTAGTTGGTTACCAGGTTGGCACACATCTCAGGAGGGATTTTGGTCCACTCTTATTTACAGATCGTCTCTAAATCCTTAAGGTTTCTTGGCTGTCGCTTGGAATAGAAAAGACAAAAGATAAAGTGCACTCCACTGGGGTGGACACACTTCAATCGGATGGCTGCTGTATGCAGGTGTGCAAAGCTCCTCACTACAGGGAGAGGACCCTGTCTGTTAACAACCACAAATCAAAACAAAAACTCAGGAGAGCAACTACCAGAAGATGTATATGTGGGCTTAGTCTGGCGAAGGGCCCAGTGGATCAATGAAATGCCACACTGTCCTTATTTCATCGATCCACTGGCCCCTCAATGTGGCAAAGTCGGCCTGTACCTTTAGCAGAGAAACAGCCACAAAACATAATGTTTCCACCTCCGTGCTTGACTGTAGGGATGGCTTTCTTAGGGTCATAGTCAGCATTTTTCTTCCTCCAAACACAGCGAGTCGAGTTAATGCTAAAGAGCTCAATTTTGGTCTCATCTGACCGCAGCACTTTCTCCCAATCCTTCTCTGAATCATTTAGATGTTCACTGGCAAACTTCAGATGGGCCTGTACATGTGCCTTCTTGAGGAGGGGGACCTTGTGGGCGCTACAGGATCTCAATCCATGGCAGTGTATTGTGTTACCAATGGTTTGTTTGGTGACTGTGGTCCCAACTGCCTTGAGATCATTCACAAGCTCCTACGTGTAGTTCTGGGCTGATCCCTCACTTTTCTCATTATCATCCTTACCCCATGAGTTGAAATCTTGCATGGAGCTCCAGACCTGGGGCAATTGATGGTTATTTTGTATTCCTTCCATTTGCGAATAATCGCTCCAACAGTTGTTTCCTTCTCACCAAGCTTCTTGCTGACAGTCTTGTAGCCCATTCCAGCCTTGTTCAGGTCTACAATCTTGTCCCTAATGTCCTTTGACAGCTCTTTGGTCTTGCCCATGGTGGTGAGGTTTGAATGGAAGAAAGAGATTCTGTGGACAGGTGTCTTTTATTTACATAACAAGTTGTCGTTAGGAGCACCTTTTCAAATTGACAGGACTAATCTGTGTACAACATA